GAGTGGGTGTACAAATTTACAAATGAGGATTGCAAGAAAAATTAAACCTAATTATCTATTACAACCATATTGAATATTGTACAAAATTGAAAATAAAATGCAAGAATATAAATGGAAAAAAAGAAATGATTTTTGTTGTTTTTATGAAAGGGGTTTTGTCTTGACCTAATTAAAGAAAATGATTAATGAACTAAAAATTAAACATAAATTAATTAAGAAGTAAATTAAGTTAAAAATGTATTTTAGGATTTTATTTATGAAAAGGTTTTAACTTAATAAAAATAATATGAATATTAATTAAAATAAACCTAAGTTCTAAATTGATTTTAACTAAGATAATAAAATGATATACTAACTTAACCTAAGTCTAAAAACTAATTGTTTAAGAAAAAAGAAATTAATTTGTTTTAAGAAATTTTTTTTAGTCTTTTTGTTTTATGGAGAAAATAAAATATATAAGTATAAATAATAAATAAAAATAAATTTCGATTTTTATATGATTTATGAAAATAATAATAATAATAATAACAATAGTATTAATAATAATAATAAATAAAAATAAAAATAAAAAAAATAGTCAGGGAGGTGGATTAGTAATGCAAGAGGTGTTATGAGAAAAAAAGATTAGGCCCACATGAAAGCCCAGGCGCTGCTAAAAAAACACAAAAAGTCAGAAAATAGTGAAAAAATAACAAAAGGTCACGCTTGGGCTTGAACCCATGACCTAAGGGTGACAGGCGCGCGCTTTAACCACTGGGGTGGTGATACATCCTTTAACTTGTGTGAAAGGATAAATACATAATACAAAACGCACCCCGATTACACTTCATCTTCAACCTCCAGCCAAAGGATCTGTAACTTCTTCATCTCTCAATAAAAATGAAAAGTTCAAACATGAAAGTTGTGGCATTTCTTCCCACCAATCCAACCATGTAAATAACTTAAGCTAACAGTCAAAGATGAATGAGAATTTTTCTGGCCCTAATTTAAAACCTAAAAATTTCAGAAAACTTCAACTCTAAAATTCTCTAAGCTCAGCCATATAAATGCAAACTATGGATATGTACAACTTCGTGGCAATGGTATCTACATTTTATCTTCAATAATCAAAATAAAATGATACTTGTATGAAGAGATAGAAGTTTGAAAACTTACCTCTTGCAGCTGGAGTCGTGTATGGAGTTTGAGCAACCTTTGTGATGGCCTGATGATTTCTGTAGCTTGCCTGGACCTCCTTGAGGGTGTTCCAACTCCTATTTTGCTTTGAGGATGGCTGAAACTCCCAACTCAAGTCAAGTTGCAGGCTTCAAATTTGGAAATGGTGGATAGTGATAGAGGAGTTACAGTCAAGAAACATGGGTCTGGATCACTTTGATATGATGTATATTAAGTGTTTGGATGGTTAAAAATTAATACGCACGAGTGGATTTGGAGATGGCTATGTGAGGTTCAAAACTGTCAAGTTATGGCAGATTCTGAGTTGCAGAGTGCTTGAGAGTGTTTTGGGGTCTTAGCATTCGTGTCTTATGTTGCAATAGACTTGTGTATATTTATGGAAAATGTTAGAGATCAAATGCACTCAAGGTTTCTGAGTTCTAGCCTTTTGGCTCTATGACTTACTTTTGAAGAAAAGTGAGAAGACAAATCTCAAAGTGTTGTAAAAGCATGTTCTAAGTTCAAAGATGCTTTAGATACATTGCTTTTGGTTTTTAGGGGTTGTGTGTGCAGAAAGAACAAGTGCAAAGCTCAATGAGTTGACAATTACAAAAGTGATGCTTTATCAAAATGGAAATGGCAACTTTGTGCCATAAATGGAAATGTAACTTGGATAAAGGCTCAAGTGCTTGGATTAAAGCTCTATCAGCTGTGTAAACATTTAATTATGGAGTGACAATCAATTTTGAGGCTTGCAAAGCAAAGACTATGCTGCCTAGGCTTGGATTTGAATTTTTGTTCATCATGAAATGGCTTGTAATTTAAGTTTGAAAACCCTAACTTCATCTCTTCGATTCTCCTTGCTCACAAATGATCTCAAGGAGTTCTTGGACATTTTGGAAAGATTGTAATGTTCTATAAAACACCTCTTTGAATCACTTTTTAAAATTCTCCTTGGAACTATATGAAAAAGTGCCATGAAGTTAGGTCAAAATTCTGACTAAAACTAGGGCAAAATTTCACAAAGTGTTCAATTTCAAGACCATGACTTTATGAATTAATAACTTGAGATCCAAGAATTTTTAGGAGAAGTTGTGTAAATCAATGTTGTAGATATCATGGATATCTACAACTTTCATGTTGAAAGTTTCTTTTGAAACATCTTGCATCATGGTGAAAAATTGGCTCAAAGTTATAAAAAAACATGAAGTTTTAAACACAGAAAAATTTCTAAGTTAGAAAACTTTGACTTTTCAAAATGAAATCTTGACTTTTTGATTTCTTGATGAATAAGTTTCATATTTTGACATGTTTTGATGAATTGTGATATTTGACATTGGATTTTGACCAAAAAGTCAAAGTTTGACTTTTTAGTGTACAGTTGACTGAAAATTCCTTATCAATTCAATTGATCTTGAGCAATGTTTTAGGTCATTCCATTAGGTCAAAATGATGCAATTGAACTCTTTAGATCATGCTTCAAGCCAATTGATCATTTGCTAGGTCAAAAATTAGAAATTGCCCCTTCTCAGTCAAAACCCTAATTTTGACCATTTTGCCCTTTTGATAATTTGATCCAATTTCTTGAGGAATTATGGTCCAAACTTGATCAAATGATACACATGAGTTTATAATGTTGATGTGGATAAAAAATTATGAAGTTTGACTGTAAATTGGTCATAGTTGACTTTTTCCCCAATACAACTGATTTTTATGTCAACTGCTCAATTGACTGAGCAAAAGTGTGATCCAAGGCTTGAAACTTGACATGAGTAATCTTGGGGGTCTACAATGATCCATGAAAGTCATATGAAGCATTGAAAGTTCAATTATCCTCGTGCAATCTCAAACCCTAATTTTGGTCATCAGTGCTTAAGGAGGTGTCTTGAGCTGATCAACCCTAGTGCAGTCTTAAACCAAGAGAGATCTTTGCGTGAAAATATTTGATAAGTGAGAGGGAAAATTTTAGGGTACAACAGAGAAGAATTGAGCTTCTTTGACTTTTGGATCTTGAAAAAGTTGTTGGTGTTCTTAATGAAAATGAGAGAAAGTTGCTCTTTGATCCTTGAGCAAGACGAGAGAATGTTTTTTGAGTGTTTTTGAGAATTGATCAATTATGAGAGTCCCTTGAAAATTGGAGTGAATAAGAATATATAGTGTGCCCTTTTTGAATGAATGAGCCTCCAATAAACACAAGCAAATGTGCAAAATTTCAATTTATCAGAGTCTGACACCTTAAGATCAAATCAGCAGGTCCCTCGACGTGACTTTCGAAGTTGAAATGTGAAACTAAAATGTAGTCAATGTTGAGAACAACATCGATAGGCTCAATCGGATAAACGGTGATTTAGTTATAATTTTTTGAAGTTTCATCTTAGATGAAAATATTTCTCGGTTCAGGATTTTAAAATGCGTTGCACGCGTTTTGGACCAAAAACAAAGGCCTTCGGGATATCGTTCGAATTGGAAAGCTGAAAGCAATATTTAGCCAACTCAATTTTTGAACCAATGCCACTAAAACTAACTCAATACGATAAGAATCGACCGAGTTATGATTTTATGAAGATGAAGCAAGTGAACATTTATCACAATTTTCTTGTGCGAACATATTTGATAAATTCATATATTCGAAGACTTTCTGAGTAGAAATGGCTTCCGACCATGATATACGAAATGTAGATGACATCAATACGGAATTTTGGCCACTGGAATAGGCTCAAAACAATGAACGGTCTTAGAGTTATGAATTTTTTAGTGCGCCAAAACCGCACCTTCAGCACCTTTTTCTTTGTATTTTTCACCATACAACTTCCAAAAGAACCACGTATTCAGAGACTTTCCTTTGAGAATTAGCTTTTGGTCCGAAAACGAAAACTGAAGAGAACATTGAGATAATTTCAAAACCTAAAGAATCAACCCAAAATACCATTCCAAGCTGGAGATGCGAATTTTCAAACTCATATCAGTCAAAACACTATTTCCAATTCGCACTGTTTTAAATTCACCAAAAACACCCAAGTCTTCCATAACTCAAACATGCATTAAAAATTATGAGAGCTTTGTCGTGTTGATCAAATACCTTGACCTCATGAACACATAACCAATGATATGCATGCATGTGTATATGCAAACAAAGTATAAGCCAATCAAAATTAAAACAAAGAGGGCAAATTTTAGGGTGCAACACTAGAATTTGGGAGAGTCTGCGGTAGAAGAGATTCAAAGGGACGAGGCATTCTTAAAGAGAATTAAGAACATGTTTATAAGATTCCACATCATCTACCACATATACAAAACAAATGTCCGTTTGTGCCTTTTGGACGAAAAGGACTGCTGGGTCATTTTTAAACAATTAAAGGACCACTTTGAAACTTTTTAAAGATAAGGGACGAGAATGAACCCCGAGATAAAATTAAGGGACTAAAAAGAGTATTTTGACTAATAATAATCAACTACTTAACTAACAATGAAATATACTTAGTCTCTCCCTAATATATTGTTTCATCAAAATATAATTTACACTACAAAAAGCCTTTTATGATAATTCACTAAATGAAATTGTACTAACCAATTAAAATATTCCTTTCATCTAAATGACACCTTTTTTTTCAAATTTTGTTGGAACACTCTTTTAACCGGTTAAAACCATAACAATTGTCTAAAAAATTTCTTTTTCCTTCAAACTCACTTCTATCCTCTCATTCCCACACTTAGCTTTCTCTCTCCTTCTTCAGATTTGTCGCCCTCTCCCTCTTTCATCTAGTTCACATCTCCTTCACCTTCAATCCATCTTCAATCTGATAAGAAATCGGTTCCTTGAAGCATGACCTTCTATTTTTCCAATAATGATGTTGTGGTTTTGTTTGTTTCACATTGTTAAGGATGACTGTGAGCTGCTCGGTGTGGTGTCGAAGTTTGTGGTGATGTTCCTGCGGTTTCATTGGCAAAGCTGTGGGTAGCAGTTGGTTCGTCGGTTCGTAATTTTACCCTTCTCTCATATTTATATTTTATCTATTTTTATCAAGTTAGGGTTTTGCTTTATATCAATGGGGGCTTTTTAATATAATAAATTATATGGATTTTTTACAAAAAAAAATTCTTCACATATTCATGGAGTGATTTGTTTTGGGTTTTTGAACAAACAAATTTATGATTTACTAACTTATTTGTAATTGATTATGATGCATATTTCTTTTAATACAAGTTATTTCTTTCATGATTTGGCCAAGGCTGTGAAAACAATGAAGAAGAGAGACAGACAAAGTTCTATTGAATGTTAAGCCATAATTTTGTTAAAACTTTGTTATTATTATAATTATGTAAATACATGTTTTGCTTACTTTGTAAGTTTATTGATTTTTATAAATTATGTAGATGCATTTGGTGAAAGTGGACCTTGAGAGGAAGATTTATTCTTATCATTTGTGGTATCAGCTGAAGTAATCTCTTGCATTTTAATTTCTCTCTTCAGTGCAATGCATGATGTAATTAATGTTTTAGCATTTTCATATGAATACACACTGAGTGAAACGTTTTTTCATACTTCACGCTTCTCCTTTCGTGGTGGTTCTATGTATTCACGAATTGTGGTTCTGTGTGTGATTGATTTGCTTCCTGCTGAAATAAATTAAAAAATGTTGTTTAAGTAATTAATTTTCTTATATTTACTTATAAATGCAACTATGAATGTTTATTTTTAATTTAGTTCAATATTGTGACCTCTAGATGTAAGCTTCTTGCACATACACAATACATATTTGCTCACACACACAACTGGACAATTAGTTTATCCTTCAATTAACAGTAATGTACAGTTTGCGACTGTCCAAGCTCCACTTGAATGTTTTTTCTTAATTTTTTGAAATCTTTTGTATAGTGTTAACAATCATTTGTTAACTCTAAAGTTCTATATCTTATTTGCAGCGTTTTATTCCCTTCAGTTCCATGGTGCATCCTATGGAATTTCTGGACCAGCTGGTGCAACAGTTGTATTGCTTGATGAAGATAGGAGTGTGGTATTAGACTAATGCAACAATTCAATTAGATTATATTCTTTAAGATGTAGCTTACTCATTTTTTTCTATGCAGCTGTATTGTTTACACAAAGGGCTGGGATATCAAACCAACAATGTTGTTGAGTATCGCGTCTTAATTTTAGGACTGAAACAAGTGCTAAAGAAAGGATGTAAAAACTTCAATGTCCAAGGAGACTCCCAGTCTATGAAGCACAAACACTTCAAATAGGGCCCCGACATTGACACGGCGATACCGATAATAATTTGAAAAAATAAATATTTTTAACGTAATTACTGATAAACCATGTCAACTGCTATTTCTTTTAATGGTTGCTTATGTTAATTCATTCCATTTTCATTGTAAGTATACCACTTATTGAATGTACGATATATACAATAGATAATATCATTGACAACTTTAAATGTATTTTACAGCTAAGATGTGAAGGTGTGAAAAACACAAGAAATGGGGGGTGTTGAATTGAGTTTTGAATAAAAAACTTTTCTTTTAAAATCCTTTTCTTTTAGAAACAAGAAACTTCACTTAGTGATAATAAAAATAAGATGCAGGAAGTAAAGAACAACAATGTGTATACTAGTTCACTTGAAAAATATCAAACTAGTCTAGTCCATCCGCCAAGGTGATTTCGCCTCTCTCCAACGAAGACTTAATCCAATAATCAAACTGATTATTACACTTGCACACACCAACTGTATGTGACTAACTATATAATCTTTAAGATACACAAGTCTTACTTCTCAAGAATACTGACCTAACTGGTCTCTCAAGGAACAATCTTTAAGACACACAAGTCTTAAACTTCTCAAGAATAATGACCTAGCTAGTCTCTCGAGGAACAATCTTTAAGACACACAAGTCTTAAACTTCTCAAGAATTCTAACCTAACTGGTCTCTCAAGGAAAAATCAATAAGTTGTTTGAATAATTTGTTTACAATGAGAATGCTTCTACACAAGCTGTTTAGTAAACAAATTTTATAAACAATAGACTAAAAAGCATGAAAGCTATGAACAACGCTTGTGTATGGATAATCTGTGAATTAGCAGCTTTCTATCTTAGTCTTCAAGCATTTATATAGCCAATAAAATAATATATCTGCTGAGGGGCACTCTTGTGATTTCCATAAACATTGGCGGCTTGAGCAGTAACGTATGGGACAAGATCGTGCAACGCGTCCGTCCTTTCGTGGTAGTGGACTGAAACGTTTTTATCGTACCATGTACTATTGTACCATGTTAACGTTATCTTCTTTCCTTTTGCACTTCAAAGGCTTCTGCAAGCATGAGCTTAGAAGAGAGAACATAACATTAAGGTCATCAGAACTTCAAGTCTTCAAAGTCTTCAGAACTGCATCTTCAGAGTCTTCAGCACTTGGTCGTGAGAACCTTTTCTAGAACCTTGGGTCTTCAGAGTCTTTAGAACTTCTGTCTTTAAAGTCTTCAGAACTTGGTCTTTAGAACCCTTTTCTTAGAACCATGAGTCTTTAGAAACTTGAGTCTTTAGCATTTGGACTTAAGTATAACTTTTGTCTTCAGATCTTCTAACTGGTTTCTTTAGAATGCGTTGTCTTCAGAAACACGAGTCTTTAGCATCTGGACTTAAGTAGAACTTCTATCCTCAGATCTTATGACTAGTTTCTTTAAACTTCATATCAGAGCCTACACTTCAGAGTCTTCTGTAGTGTCTTACTACTATTCATCAGAACTTGTGTAGCGCAGAAGCATAACTAATTCTCTTCTAATATCTTGTTCACGTCATCCATCAGAACATAACATGTTTGTTAAATACTCGAAAATAACATACATTAGAGTATCAAAATTGTTCATACAAACATACTCATTTGTTATCATCAAAATCATACATAATATTGCAGAACTAAATCTTATTCTAACAATCTCTCCCTTTTTGGTGATGAAAAACTATGTATTTTGATGACACAATTTTGTTCACATAATCAGAAAAAATGAAAGTAAAAAGAGTAAGAACACTTATCTTTTTTATGAACTTCCCCCTGAGTCAATGACTTGATGAAGCTCGAATATCTTAACTCTGAACCATTTGAGTAAAAATTCCCCTGGTTCCAATAGATCAAATATTGAGATCTTGAGAGTCTTGACTCTAGATGCCAATGAAATCAATTGAAATCTTGAAACTTTAATTTCACTAAGACAAATTCGATATTCTCAACTCTTAGAGTCTGATTATGAAATGAAAAATATCTTCAGAGTCTGAAGCCAACAGGTAGATCTTTGTCTTTAATCAGAATTCTCATTTCCTGAAAAAAGAAGAAAAAAAACACTTCTAACAGAAACAGAAGTTTAACTGGGTTAGAATGTAAGCAGCTCTTTTTCAGAGAACATTTTTCAGAACTTTATTATTGAAATAAAATTTGTGTTCATTTAATTACTTCCCCTTTTGTCATAATCAAAAAGGTAATTATGTGTGAAAAACATAAAAAGGAGAAGAAATAACAAGTAAGAAAAGAAGTTTTATTGATATTTGAAAACGATTACAACAGAAGGATAAACAATATAATGAAAACAAATAAGGAAAACTATCTAAACTTCAATCATATCATAACTCTCATCAAATATAACATTGTCTCTGATGAAAGGGTTTCTTCGAACAATTTCAATTACACCAGCTAACTCAAACAATCCAGATAATACACGTCCATAAGGAATGAATGGTTTTTGGGAGTTTATGGGTGCAAGAATTGATAGCTTTAGATGATTAAATATTATTGCCGAAAGATGAATTGGAGTACTCTTGCGAAGGCAATAGAGAAGACATATATCCATAGGAAAAACTTATCAAGATCTTCCCCTCTGAGATAAAGGTCTCTCAACAAGAACTGAAACCATATTTTTGCAAGAGGTTTCAAATGATCTGGATTAAGGGGCTTATATCTAAAGGGAGTATTAGGAACTCTTGGAAACACATCAACATTCATGCAGGAGTTGGGTAATGGTGGACTCTGGATGACTTCACTAATGGAGGAGTGAGTGGTGGTAATCGGAATACCAAAGATATGAGAATGAATGAAGTTTCCATCAGAACTGACAAAAACATAAAGCTAGAAATTCTTCAAGAGGTTAGGATAAATAGGACCTCCAAGCATTGTTGCATACCCAAACCATCCTTTATTTTAAATAAAACCATTGATGAAACCATCATCAGACACATAGTTGGGTCTTTCCTCTTTGATTACTTCGAGAGAATTTTCATCTCCTTGAAAGGTTCTAATAGCCATGGTATGCAAAAAAGCTTGAAGAGAAGAAACGACTGAAGATGATACAAGGATAAGGACTAGATGAAAGACTATAGATGAGAAGAGATATAAGTAGTTAATCAATTCATTCAATAAATGAGACAATTGAAAGACTCAAAGGAATTAATTTAGAGAGAGAGAGAGAGAATCAAATGACATCATAGTCTGCTAAAATGAGGGAATGAAAAGAGAAGTAGATCAAAAGTTAAGATAGAAGAACACGAAAAAACTTAATTAGAACTTGGCAAAGAAGATCTTAGCAGCCATATCAGTAAAAAACATATGAATACGACACGAAACAATTGTTCCCAAGACACAATAGAGAGGAGTAGTTAATAAATGTAATCATGATTAATCAATTCCAAGAAAAATAATTACTCGTGCATTTCCTAGGTAGAGTGTGATAGACCTAAGTCTATTTAGGTGATGTGTTTGATATTCTCAACATCTGGAAAACCACGAAGGTATCCATCTGATCAGAGACATTTCTAACTGAAATATTTTTTGATGACTGAGGTAAAAGAAATTATAAGGCCTTTGATTGAGTCAAAATCTTATCACTTCATACTAAGACTAAAACACCTTTGATTCTAATGACATCTTACAATGGACAGAGATCCATTTTCATATTCTTTAGAATAAACATAAATTTATCTTCAGCTAAGGGCTTTGTAAAAATATCAGCCCATTGATGGTCTGTATCTATGAATTTTAAAGATATGATCCTTTCATGAACATAATGTCTAATAAAATGATGTTTTATTTCTATGTGTTTAGCCCTAGAGTATAAGATATGATTCTTACTCAAGCAAATATCACCAGTATTATCAAAGAAGATAGGAATGTTACTCTCATATATTTGATAATCTTCCAGTTGATTCTTCATCCAGAGCATCTGAGTGCTACATAGTGCTACTGAGATATACTATACTTCTGCAATTGAGAGAGTGATTGTTGATTGCCTCTTTCTTGATCATGAAATTAGATTCTTTCTCAGAAATTGACAGTTTCCACAATGGCGCATGTGTATTGATTATACTGATCTCAATCGGGCTTACCCGAAAGATGCTTATCCCCTCCCCAATATTGACAAATTGGTCGACAACTCAGTCAATTTTAAATTATTGTCATTTATGGATGCATGTTCTGGCTACAACCAGATTCCGATGGAAAAAACAGACAAAAAATACACCACTTTCATGACGGAATAGGGCAACTATTACTACAACGTGATGCCCTTCGGCCTGAAAAACACAGGTGCTACATATCAGCACATGATGAATAAGGTCTTTTACAATGAAATAGGCAATATGCTCAAAGTCTATATGGATGATATGATCGTCAAATCCATGGAAGAGGTCGAACATGCCCTCCACTTAAAGAAAGTGTTCGAGCAGGCTCGAAAATGCCGATTGCGGTTCAACCCGGAGAAATGCACCTTTGGGGTACGAGCAGGCAAGTTCCTTGGATTCTATCTAATAGAGAGAGGCATTAAGGCGAACCCCGATAGTGTCTCTTCAAAGTACAATTGTCTGACATCCTTGGTTAGGAGAATGCGTCCTGTTGCACCCCAAAATTTGCCCTCCCATATTCATCAAGAATTGTCAAGTCAAAGTCACAAAATTCCCCAAGGGTTGTGCAGCTCAACTGTCTCCTATACAGTCAAAACTAGGGTTTGAGTTCTGGTCAAGCAAATGAACTTTTCAAAGGCCCAATCAAGTCTCATGTGCTCACAAAGATGGTCAAGTATCCTCATTTCAAGTTTCTAGACATTCAGCTCAAAATTGCACAGTCAAAACCCTAGTTTGCACTACAGTCAACTGTAGGGGCAAAATGGTCATTTGACAGTCAAAAGTTCAAATTTTTGATCAACATATCATTTTGAAGCCACAAACATCATTTGATCAATGCTTGATCATGATTCTCAAAATTTGGCT